CCCCCCCCCCCTGCCCCCATAAGCCCCATGCCTGTGGGCAGAGACCCCCCCCCCAGAGCCGTGGTCCCCCCCTCACCATCCAGCGCAGCCACAGGCTGGTCTCGCTGGCCGTCCGCAGGGTGACATTGGCAGGTGACACATCCGGGGGTGCCTGTAGGGTCTGGATCCTCCGGGAGGGCAGGCTGGGGGGGCTGGTGCCCACAATGTTCACTTGCCGCATGCGGAAACTGAGAGACGAGAGGGGGGGTCACGGTGGAGGGTGAGAGGGCTCTGGTCCCCCAGGGAGGATGCCACAGCACCATCCTGACCACTTGCCTGTAGTAGGTGTAGGGCTTCAGGTTGGGCACCTCCATGGAGCGGGCGTCGGGCTCGCTAGCCAGCTGGTGAATGAGCCCCCACTCTTCAGCCTCGCCGCTCTGGCCCACCTGCAGGATGGGAGTGGGGTGAACTGTCCCCTGGCACCCACTCATCCCGCTCCCCGAGCCACCCCGTACCTGTGCCTCCACCTGCCAGCGGGAGATGGAGGTTTTGCCATCATAGCCTGGGCGAAACTGAAGGGTGATGGAGCGGGGTCCGATGTTGGAGATGCCCAGGTTGGTGGGGGCACCGGGGAGCTCTGCGGGGAGAGGGCAGGGCCGATGGCACTGGCTGGGCCCCCCCAGCACCGGCCACAGCCTGCTGGCATCCCCGTGCCACCACACTCACCTGGAGGCACCCCCGAGGAGATGGTGGAGGAGGAGACCCGGCCCTGGCCCTTGGAGGTCATGGCAGCCACCTCGATGGTGTAGGTGGTGAGGGCGGTAAGGCCGGTGACACGATACTCCAGGGTGACGTTGGGCAGGTAATGGGTCACCCGCGTGTTGGTGCGGTTGTACTCCTCCCAGGAGATCCGGTAGCCTGAAACATGCCCCATGCTGTCGGTCCCCCTCATCGCCCACCCCAAGGAGCTGAGCAGGGCCAGTGGGAGATGCTGCGGGGCGGGAGATGCTGCGGGGCGGGAGCTGGGTACCCGCTGCGGGGCGGGAGATGGGTACCCGCCAGTGCTCCCTTACCTGTCAGGATACCGTTCTTCTCCTGTGGCTCCTGCCAGCTGACCTTCAGGGACGTGTCCAGGATGTCACTGAAGCTGAGGTGTCCCACAGGGCCAGGCACTGCCCAAAGATGCCCAGGCTCAGCACGCAGCCACGCACCCCAGGGCAGGAGCCCTCGGCACCCACGGGAACCCCACAAGGAGAGAGCATGGATGGGGCTCCCTGGGGCTCAGTGGCACCCCGTTCCACGTCCCCACCGGCAGCACCAGTGGGACCAAGTCCCCCATCTCGGGGCTGTTCCCACCCTCCCCGGGAGCCACACGTGGGCAGGGTCCGTCCCGTGGGAACGCAGAGCCTCCCCGTACCGTCCTCGTGGGTGCGCACCAGCTGGGGGGGGCTGCGCGGGCCGTCCCCCGGCGTGGTGAAGCACAGCACCGAGGTGAAGTACTCGGCGAATTTCCGCAGCCCCGCCACGTAGCCCACGTGGACGCTGTCCTGGAAGTTGGGCCGCACCGTCACCACCGTCGCCTCCTCCTCGTGCTCCGGCTCCCAGGCAATGAGCTGCGGGAAGAAGGAGCTGGGACGCTGACCCAGGCATCGATGTCCCCACTGTGCACATCGGTACCACAAACACCATCCTCCAGGCACCTCCAGCCTCCTCTTATTTATTCAGAGTTGATTAAATATCAATTAACAGTGCAGGGAACACTTGATGCCTTTAACAGCACAAGTTTACCCGTATGAGCAGATACAGAGCGCGCGCTTTGTGATTAACTCCCATTGATAACGGCATGTAATTGCCCGCTCGCCTGTGTTTGGGCATTTAATTGGTATTGTGCAAGATAGCCTATAGCAACTTAATTAAATACTAATTAGGCCCTAAAAATACTAATCAAAAATACTAAGTGGCATTTAATAAGAATGTTAAATATCCTACTTGCTCTGGTTATCTCATTCAGTGGCAATTAAATTCCAGAACTTCTTTTGAGTGGATTAAGAAACAAGTTTAATGTTTCAATTCAATTTAATTAATGTAAATTTGAATTAATTGCCATTTGGAATTAATTACAGAGCATGGGAGACTCTGAGCCCATGCAAGTGTTAAATCTCAGTAAATATTACTTTAACATTCAGGCCAGAATCAATTAATATCTGGGGTTTTGGCGAGGAGTCGTCGAGCCGGTTTGTAAAGGTCATCTGAGGAGTTTACCCCCCCCAGCTGCCCCGTTTTCAGAGAGACCCACGGGAATCGCCCCTCACCTTGTACCCCTGGTTGATGCCATTGATGAACTGGGGGCTGGGGGGGTTCCAGGTGAAGCGAATGGTGGTGGAGTTGGTGGCCTCGGTCTGCACGTTCCCCGGGGGCACCGTGGGGACTGCCGGGATGAAGGGACGGCTTGCAGTGGCTCCAGCTCCGCGAGGTCCCCTCCATCGGCCAGGCGCCAGCCCCCCGGGAGCGCAGGCACCCGCAGCGGGGAGGACCCCGGGCACCCAGGGTGGTGCCCCAAGAAGCCCCTCGC